ATAGGGACTCGAGTTCAGGACTTGGTACCGAAGATGGAGACACGAATTCAGGACTTTGTACCAAAGATGGAGACTCGAACTCGGGACTTGGTACCAAAGATGCAAGCTCAAATTCGGGACTTGGCACCAAAGACGCAGACTCGGCCTTGGGAATCGGACCCAAGACTTGCCAACGTCCCTGGTCAGATCTGATCATTCCTCTTCCCCCCCTCCTTTCCATGAAGCTACATAGATCCTGGAGAAAATGACCTCTTTTATTGATTTATTCCAGTGCAGCGCTCTCAATAACTAGCAGCATCTCTAGTTTGGTGTGCGTTTGCCGTTAAGTTCCCAACTGCACAGACGGTCAGCAGATCTCTGGTTCCAAGAGGGGAAAAGTAACTTTTTTTAGGGGGACCGCGGCTGTGCCAGAGTCACACAGGTGATTTGCAAGCCGGTTGCAACTCAGCACTTCAGAGGTGCCGAGCGATCTTGTCTTTACGTGCAGGAGGAAAGGGGGGAAAAAGAAGGAAATGCTGGCATGCTAGCGGGCGTGAAGTTTTATGGTGTGTTTTTTTCCTGATCACCTCCAGGAAAAAGAATATTAGTTCAAACCTCCCTCGCCCCGCAAGGCGCTTACAAAAAGAAGCTTTTGAAAAGGAGCCGAGCCCCAGCGGCTGATGTTTTGTCAGCACTTATCCTAATAGGAACTTGTTGATGCAAGCCGGGTCAGTTGAAAACAAAATAAACATAAAAAGTGGGGGGGAGGAGACCAAAAATATAACGGCACCTTAAAGACGACCTTTTCTATTTGTTGAATGTCGGCTTTTGTGGAAAAGTCGAAGCAGACTCGTCGGCAAAAGGTCACATATATTTTTTTAAAGAAGTATTCGTCATGTTCATAAATGTACATTTTTTGTTAGTTTTATTGTTTTTCGCTTTCCCCCCTTTTATTAGAGGGCACATCCGACATTTCTCCGTTCAACCCGCCTGGCAGGCAGGTTCTTTGAAGGGAAGAGCGGCCTTCACAAGGCACAAGACGGGGCGGCCGGCGTCTCCCACCGCCAGGGCCGCCCAGACCTCGCGGCCATTGAGTAGGGTCCCCTTGCCCGTCTGCCTTCGAAGGGGATGCTCAGAGGTCCGCCCTGTCATGGGGGGCTGGTTTGGGTCCAGGAGGCGACACAGCGCCCGTCGGCGGCTGCTCTCTGGCTGGTTCAAGATCTCGACCCTGCAGGCGCGGAAGCGGGCGACTTTGCTGTCGTGATGGAAAAGGCACAGCGAGACGAGGACGAAGACCAGGGCCAGCCCGCTGGCCAGGAGAACGGAAGGGATGGCATCCGAATCCTCGGGCTCCAGGGAAGGAGCTTCCGAAGGAGGCGGAGAAGCTCTGCGTTCAAGTTTTGCGTGCCCCTGGGGGTTGTCGTCGCCGCAGGCTTCTGGAACGGTCCTGTGGCCCCAGAGCGGCGGTCCATCCTTCTGCGCCCCCGGTAAATCTGGTCCGTCTAGCACATGGAGAGAGAGGAAAGCAAGGACAGGATTACCAAAGCAGATGCTTCGGGGGGGGGGAGCTAAAGGAGGCAAGCCTTAAAATTTGAGCATAGGTTGCAATATTTGGAACTGCAAGAGGATCACGCTGTGGGATGTCCCATCATCATCATCATCATCATATCTTCGCGGCCAGATGGGATGGTACCCAAAGCCAGATGCAGCACAACCACTGTATCCACGTGGCATGGGTTTCAAACCCTCTCCCTCCGCAGATGCTGAAAACGGTGGATAATAGCAAAAAAAAGAGTAATCATGCAGAAATACGAATTTTCACCATGTATTACCAGAACTGGCCACTAGAAGGAGCCAGAGACCATGAAAATGGCTGGCTGGGTGGAGGGGAACCCGAAGTGCTAACGGGTTGCTCAGAGTTACGGGGTCTAGCAGTAAATGCTGGGTTATATTTATTTATTTTGGATATTTTAACCCCACCGTTCTCAAAAGGACCCGAGGCATTCTGCAATCATTGGGAAATGATGTATTTAAAAGCGGGAAAAAAGTATACAGATGTTTTCAAAAGAATTAAACAAGTGTGTTCAAATGGAAAAGAAAATCAATAAAACACATTTAAAACAACTATCCATTTAAAAAAGCCCCTTTCAGTCCGCCAGTCATTGAGGGGAAGCCTGCCTGAAGAGAAAGGATAATCAAAAAACGGGGGGACAGAAGGTTCAGACAGCAAACGAAGGTGACTTACGTTCCTTTTGGACCGTAGACTTTTTTTGCCCCCCAAACGGGCTCGTCTCTGAATGGAAGATTTCCCCGTAAAGGTCCATGTCGTGAGCTTCAGCCGGATCAGGGCACTGCTTACTATTAATATTAAATTGAATAACAGCATTAAATGGGAGAAGGATTGAGGATAAAAGAAAGTGGTTCCGTTGGCTTTCCAAAGAGGGTAGCCGCCTGCAACGGAAACGATTATTGATCAATTGATTATTTGTTTATGTACAAAACAGCCAAGAATCTGAAAGAAAGGGTGATTGATCTTCACGATCGGGCAACCTCTGGAGGGGTTTGGACATAGTCACTCACCTTTGGCCAGCTGTCTGGGGAGAATGGGACTCGTAGTCAAGCACATCTGGGGGATCCTAGGTTTCGAGGAAGGAGGGCTGAACTTGCCAGAGGAATTGCAATGTGGATGATAAGCTTGGGAAAAGGGGGTGGGAGGGAATGGAAATGGGAAAATAAGTCATTTGTCTTTGATTTTTTTTCTCCCCCTACAGCATGGTGGCCTCAGTATTACCGGTTCACGGGGTCAGGCTGCAGGAATATGGACCAACTGAAAAGCTGTCGCTCCGCCTGGCGTGCTGCCCACAGCGAGCCTCGGCACAAGTTGGTCCTCTGGATCTCCAGCCGTGCTTCTTGAAAGGAAGACTTCCCTTGCAAATGGATAGGCTTGTCCCAGGCAGTAAGTACACGTCGGACAAGATGGGGAGGGGATGATGATGAATTCGGTGAGGCCGGCTTCTCAAGCGAGCACGAGCGGCGATGTGCCATTCCTTTGCCAGCGGTCAAAGGAATCACTGCTCTTTTGAAAGACTTCTTTTAGGAAGAAACAAAATATGGATAAGGGGGATCTACTTCTCGAGACAACTTCATCTAGAGTTTCGGTTGCTAGGATGTGTGGATATAAATAAAGCTACCGAACTCTGCCAGGAGGGAATTTCCTGCGGGAAAGAATTTAGTAAATTCCTACAGATAATCAGTAGAAAAATTGGATGGGTCATCCAATGCAAAATTCTGCTTCTGGCCTCTGCTGTGTTGTGATGGGGTCCAGATGGACGCTGTTATTTTTTGCCCTGGGGGGTTTCGGTCATTTCCAGCCGACTCAGATTAACCCGAAGGATGTTGGTGGAATCATTTCAGAGTTGCTTGTGACCCTGTGTTGGAAAACGCAGCTGGGCTCACTTCTTAGACTCCTCTTTCCTCACGTCCTCTCGCGCTCCCCACTGCTGTCCATCGCACGGTTTTGCCCTGTCGGACGCAGCCGAACGTGTCCGGTTTGTCCGGCTCGGCTGCCACGAGAGAGGATCGGAGAAATCTGAACCCGTTCAGCTCCAGAAGGCGAAATGGTAAGAAATGGTTCAATCCTTGCGCTCGAAAACTGCAGCCTAAGGCTGAACCTCCCAAACAAGTTTACGGAGACCCGAGCGCCGTTTGCCCGCAGGCTTTTAGTTCTTTGTCAACACCATGGTGAGGATTGCGCGGAATGGAAAAAAAATCTGAATAGTACAGTGGTCCGGGCGCCCGAATAACAACAGAAATGACACATCAGGATTTCCATGGCATGCGAAGAAGTATTTGTACCTGGCTAATGATCAAACGGCCGTCCCAAGGATGGAGGCAGAACCCTGTTTTCAAAAGCCGGCCAGTCTATGTTGGGATCCATTCAAAGTTTGGGAGATTATTTTGAGAATAATTGCGTCAAGATTTACTTTTCTCTTTTCCAGTTCCCTTTCTCATTGATCCATTTTCACCAACCTTAAAAAAAATAATTAATGGCCCATAGGACTCAGCCATAGTGAGTAACAAAAGAGGACTGGTCCAAAACTGTTGCCCTCAAAAAGTAGTAACGCGAACAGTCATTATTTTCACAAAAGATTTTCACACAGGGATTATAAAATATAATTTATAAGTAGAGTACTAACGACAAACAGGCTGTTTTTTCCGTATTAAGGATACATTTCAGAAGCAAGACAAAAAGCAGGAATAACGTTGGTCTAATTAGTGATTTTCCCCCCCCAATTATTTTCAAAAGCTTACTTTTTACATTGCATTTTTAGAGACGTTTGGACAGGACTTTTTCACACTTGTTTAGCTGTTTGCTTACATTTCCCCCCCTGCTATTCTGTTAAACAAGACCCAACTTTTATACCCTTCTGTAAATCTTAAGATTTCTTTTAATAATGGAAACTTCAGTAACGAATTATTAACAGGCAAACGAGTAACTCACCACTGCCTTGGAGCATTTTGAGGAGCAAAGCAGGGTAAAAAAATATTTTAAATAAACAAATAAAATTCTTTATATATTTGCAATTAGAAGTAACCTATTTGCTGTGAGCTTTAGGCCAGGTTGCCTCTTGAATTATTTAGCAAAATCCCTTGGGATGAAGGAGGAAAAGACTTACCATCTCCATCAAACTGACTAGCCTGCAGATCTTCCCCCGCAAAAAGTGGTTCTCCCTTCTAGGCTTGCATGCGCGGCTCTTACACCTTGCCGAGAGAGCCTTTATATACCTCTCACCTTAAGCCAGGTAGATGCGCCCACAGCAATACCTGGCAAAAGAAAATTTCCTCCTTCCAAAAAGCACCTCCTCCGCTGGGTCTTAAAGCTAGCACAGTCTGTTTCGGGACTGGAGCGAGAGCTGCAGGCGAAGCAATAGTTTCGACGAATTTGATGTGGGCGTGGCGGTGGAGCCTAACTAATAACATCCCATCCAAAACGACCCATTTCGTTATTTGAAGTCTGAGAGTTCATACCAAAAATAGACGTCCACGTTACCTTTGTTTTCACAACGACCCCGTCGGGTAGAACGTGGTGACTGGCCCTGGGTGATGTTGCAAGCTAAGTGGGACTTCCCACCCGGCCCCTCCCCGTTTAATTGGACATACTTAGGTGTACACCAGGTTTTGGCATCGACCAGGAGTGTTTTTGGTGCATTAAAGCTGGTGCGCCTGCTGCGCCTGTTCCTAGAGATGTCTGATATGGCGACTAAGACACATGGCTGAGTTACGCCCCATTTGGGTTACTGTTCGGATTGCTGTTTGGATTTAAGATGCGGCTGCCAGACGGCTGACCGGGACCGGCGATAGGGAGCACAGAATACCCCCCATCACAATCCTTCCGCCATCAGCTGAAGACCCATCTTTTCAGGCAGGCTTTTAACACTCACAACGGAGTCCCCGAATGCCTTTTTAAAGTTAAAATATTCTTCAATGTCTACATGCCTTTAATGGTCGTCCTCATCTCAGAACCTGCAGAGCTGGAAGGGACCCTGTAAGATCATCCAGTCCAGCCCCTCTCAAGGAGGCCCAGTGGGGGAATCGAACTCCCTACCTCTCGCTCTGCAGCTCCAGAGAGACCTCAGCCCCAGAGCTACCCTGCCATTCTCTATTCAATTGTATTTTAATTAGCATATAGTTTAAGTGTTGTTGTTTTTAAATGTTCAACAATTATGTTTTTAATTCTGTATATCGTGAGCTTCCTTGGTTCCCCTTATCAGGATAAATAAAACAAGCAAACAGATGGAAGTCGGAACCCATCCGATCTGGAAAGCCGCAGCTTGGGGAAAGGGGATTGAACTGAAAGCTTTTTAAAAATGGATTTAGAAATCAATGAATTAAAAGAAGAAGGAGACGACATTTGATTGACTGGATGGCATTTAGGATGGGCAGAGTTAAGGTGAAGCCCGCCGGGAGTGGCTTTAGCAGACTGTTGGCCTTTTTTCGCTATCTTGCTCGCAACACCCAACGTCTACATCCTCTTGGCTTCCTCTTTTTTTTGTCCCTTACGCCGCCACAACCGAGATTCAATTCCGCGATTGCACATTTCGGCCACCTTTTTTTTTTTTTCTAATTTTGCTTTTGCTTTTTCGGCAGACTTGCTTATTTTGGGAAAGCCCAGATCGTTAACAGCCCAGAACTTCCCCTGGGAAGCGTTCAGAGAGAGAGAAAGAAGAAGCTCCTGCTGTGGACGGATCAACCCGTTTTTGCTGCCGGCTTTTCTCTCCATTTCTCTCTTTCTTTAGGGGGAAAAAAAAAGACCAAGTTTGAGTCAAGCTGGATCCCAATATCCAGGAGCCGCTTCTAAGCCAGGAGCCGGGAGAAGACTATCGAACCACAGAGAGAGATGCCCGGCAAGTGGAGAAAGAGTATTACAGGTAAAGTCTTCTACTTTCTCAAACAATTCTGATTTTTTTGCCCTTTTTTTGCCCGTGACACCAGGCACTTTTGTGACGACGGTGGGCGTCGGACACCTCAGTCTCTTTGTCCTGCCGTTGGCTCAAGCAGCTTGTCTTCAGTTTCCACTGGGGACCAAACTGGACAGTGTGCTTAGTCCGTATTTAGAAGAGATGCTCCCTGGAGTGGCAAAAGAGGTCTGTTTGTCGTAGCAAAGGATTGTCCAGGATTATTGTGTACCCTGCATTTGCCACGCTTCGGTTTTTGATCAGTCACCAGAAGGCGAACGCAGGCATGATTTCAAAGGTTGAGGAAACCATGTGAATTGCAAGGAATACGCATTCGACTTAATGTTTACTTTGACCCTGAATCAAAGCCCACATCCATTTCATCATTTTTTGCTTGCATCTCTCCCGCCTTCCTCTTTTTACCCCCTTACTGTCCTCCTGGATCTTGTCACTCCAGCTTTTAAGTTCCTGGTGGGCCGGGACCTCCCTGTCTGCTCTGCTAAAGTCCCTCGGATAAATGCAGCGTCTCTTTCCAATCCATCGGCGGGATGGGTGGTTTTTCGTGAACGAAACCAGGCGCAGCTGAGCTTCGCTTACGGCAAAGGGAAGGGAAAGCCCGTGGCAGGGCAGATGATGGATGTGGAGGGCGGGAGGCGTGATGAGAGAAACAGTCCCCGAAAGAAAACCAGGCTCCTGTTAAATTTTCGAAAGCCTTGATGGCCTTCATCTTTGTTCCTTAATTTATATCCTTTTTTTTCCTCCCTCTCTCTCTCTCTCAGGACGCTTACAAACCAGAGGGTCTTTCTCGCTGCTTTTGCTGCTGTGCTAGGAAACTTCAGTTTCGGTTTTGCCTTGGTGTACACGTCCCCGGTCATCCCCGCGTTGGAGAGGTCTCCAAACCCCAGCTTAAAGCTGGAGGAGACCACGGCCTCTTGGTTTGGGGTAAGTCACGCTGGCTAGAGGAAAAATCTGTTTCTAACGATGAAGGTACCAGAACTGGCCACTAGAAGGGGGCCAAAGACCACTATTAAAATAGGGTTTGCTATAATCCACATTTTTCCACATCCACATGGAGGGCTTGGAACCGATCCCCCATGGATATCGGTGTCCTATTGTTTCACAGTTATATTTAGAAGTAATGGATTTATTTGGTTTTAAACACCCCTGCTTCTTTATTTATTTATCCTTCGCGCCACCTCGGCAGCTTGTAGCGTGCGTTCTGGTTGTAAGAACCTGCCAAGGCATTCACCATCACAGCATCCAGGAGCGCTATATTTATATTGATGGCGTAAACTGAAGCCTCTTGCAATACCGGTTCCTCTTTTTTTTGTAATTTTCCCTTCTTTCGTTTATGAGAGGCATTGTTCTGCTTAAATGACACCCAAGCCCTCTCTCCCTGACATATAAGTTTATAGAGGATGCTATAAAACACGATTGCTATTGATCCCTGGCATAATGGAGCTAAGGTTTGCCGGCTTACGCGACAAGGACAGGTTATGACGCCTTTTCCTCCCAGACTTTTCTCTGATTTCACCAATCCTTGCGACAGCCGAGGCAGGTGTAGATTTTCCTAGAGGCCAATGACTGTTGCAAAAGTATTCCTGCTGTCTTGCAGTGTATTTGAGGATAGTTTGGTGTGGAAAGGCCCATTAAAAGCCATTGACTTTGCAAAAGACCTGTTTCTGATTTGAGTGTTTTCGACTGAGACAGTTTCCTGATTTTTTAAACTTCCCTTACCCCGGAGGGAAGTGGGTTGGCTAGGATGATGATGATGAGCACCCACGCTTCCACATTCATCCCTCCATGACTGCAGCTTACTTTTTCAGGCTCCTTTGAAAGAGAACTTCTTTCTTGAGTCCTTTTAAGGAGGAAGGCGGGGTAAAATTATTTTAAAATAAATATATTTAACATTCCTCCTTACTCTGCTTGTTGCCTTTTCAGATTAAAAAAAAAAATAGTGTTGATAAGAGAATGGGGTGAAACTTGAAAAAAAAATACGAATGAAGAATCGAAAAGAATCTTTTAAAATTCAGCTTTGCAAAACAACGGGGGAAGCATTACCCATTTATACTAATCCCATCCTGGGACTTTGCATTACTTTCGAAACACGGCTGGCTTCTTTGCAGCCTCGTTATCCCCGGAGGTAATTATCTGAAGGGAACTCCGTTTCCTGCAACTCGTAACTTTTAATTTCTTGTCTTTGCCGTGGTAAAGACGAGAAACGTTTAATTTTTTTTAAGCTAGATTTTTTTTTAAGGTCCTGAATTCCTTGTCCTTCAGGAAGCAGGGTCGCCATCCACGGTCACGATCCGGATGTTAGAGGATTCCCTACAAACTCTCTCTCTTTCTCCCTGTGTCGCAGTCCATCTTCACCCTGGGAGTGGCTGCGGGCGGTCTGGGCACTATGTATTGCAACGACCGCCTGGGCCGAAAGCTGAGCATCATGGCCTCCGCCGTGCCGTCCGTCTTCGGATACCTCTTCATGACCAGCGCCCAAGGGGTCTGGATGTTGCTCGTGGGCAGGCTGCTGACGGGATTTGCTGGTGGCATGACCTCGGCTGCCATCCCAGTAAGTACAACTTAGACCCTTTCCCTCGATTTCATTTTGCTTCGAAGCACGGCCCGCCTGCTTCCACCCACCGAGCATCACGCAAAGCATGGCCGTTTGCAACTGGGCATAAATCTTGTGTTAGCTTTGGAGCCACTGCATCAAAAGTTTGCAGCGCATTTCATAGCTCTTCATGAGAGTACCACCTATGTCCCCGATACCTGGAAGCCTGGGGTTGAGCGTATTTTGTGTCCTCCAGATATTTTAGACTTCGCCTCCCGGAAGCCTCCGCCTTGGGAAAAACTTCTCGATGGTTAGAGTAGTATGACGGTGGTACCCATGATATTTGGAGATGGAGAGAGCTCAAATGCTGGAGGGCTTCAAGAGAAAAGGGGACCGCCACCGGTCTGATCGGCTTTGGTTTTGCATTCCTGCCTTGAGCCTTCAAGGCCCCCTTCCAATTCCATAAATTCTAGGATTCAATGACTCTATAAAGCTGCAAGACATGTACAGTGGTGCCTCGCTTAACGAGTGCCTCGCTGAGCGATGAAGTTCAATGCGTTTCTATGGCTTTTTTTATTCCGTTTAGCGATGTTTCGCTATAGCGAAGGTTAATCCGGAACGGATTAACCTCGCTATGCGAGGCACCACTGTATTCTGGAACATAGAGCCCCAGATGATCATGGACTACAACTCCCAGAAGCTCCGGTTGTCCAGGTGTGCCCACTCCAGGGTCTGGGAGTGGTAGTCCAAGCACGCACACCCCCAAATTTCTCTCCTCCCGTTCATGGGGTAGAACCACAGAAATTACGAAAAGCCTCTTCAGGTATCTTGAATACAGGAGGATCCCAGAACATTAAAGGGTTGTGTTTCAAATTTTTCGCCTCTTCTGCTGGAATTTGGGTGCTCCTGTGTAATTCCTTCCCTGTGCGATGCGAGTTTTCTTTTTTTTAAAGGGTTAAGAGAGGCTGACCGGGCCTTGATGAGAAAAGGAGATTTGCCCTTGCTTAGGTTTCCTTCCTCTTCTGCTTAACCAGATTATGTGGCAATCTACAACTCCGTGAAGAAATCTCTTAAAGTGTGGAGGGTAGAAGGGGTGCTGAATTTAGGCCGGCCCGTTGTTTCCTCTTGCGCTTTGCAAACAAGACCGCGGGAACAGCGGGGAAGAGCTGTGTCACGGTGGCGAGGGCCTGCTTCAGATCCCGAATGCGGATCCTGCACCTCCACCCCCAAGCAACACAGAGAAGGTCCTGCTGCAAATAATCAGAGTCGATCACGCTCCCTTCTAACTGGCAAAGGGATAGTGTGCCAGTTAGAAGGGCTCGAGGGACCAAGGCCATTTCTGAGGGTTGGCCAAGCGTACCATAATGTTGGCCTCTCAAGGTGTTCCTGCATTTCTTCCGACATCCTTGGATACCGCCCTCTTCTGCTGCTCTGCTGCCAAGGGTTTGATTTCATACTGGGCTTTGTAATTCACCAGAAACTGTCTATAATGGTCCACTACGAGTCCTTCACCAGTCCATCTTTAGCCCATCTCTGCAGTTGGTTCCCTCCCTCTTCTGCTGCTCTGCTGCCAAGGTGTTGATTTCATACTAGGCTTTGTAATTCACCAGAAACTGTCTAGTGGTCAACTATGAGTCCTTCACCAATCCATCTTTAGCCCATCTCTGCAGTTGGTTGAGAGTTAGGGCTGGGATCTAAGCACCTGTTTCCATTTTCAAGGAAATGTTCTCTGGTTCCCCCTAGCGGTCAGTTCTGATAGTGCACCTTGCAAAAAAAAAGACAAAAACAAGGACTCATAATCTCAGAACTGCGGAGCTGGAAGGGACCCTATAAGATCATCCAGTCCAGCCCCTGTCAAGGAGGCCCCGTGGGGGGAATCGAACTCCCAACGTCCGGCTCCGCAGCCAGATGCCTAAGCCACTGAACTATCCCTTTGCCAGTTAGAAGTGATTAAAAAATGGCATAAAACTTGGAAAATGCTTGTCAGAATATCTCTGTGATGCATCGCAGCTATTATCACTACAGAACATATTACCCAAGAAGTAACTAATTCTGGGTAACTGATACTTCTAACTAGTTACTTCCAAGCTTTGCTAGCAAGCAGCCTAAACAGGATGGATCACAGTAATCATAAAATCTTAGAAAAGTGAAATTGGAAGGGGCTTACAAAGGCCATCAGGTCCCACCCTGTGCTCAAGGCAGGAATGATTCTACCACTTACCTTTTCCCCCCTTATTTTTCCATGCAGGTCTATATTTCCGAGATCTGCCACCCCGGAGTCCGAGGTGCCTTGGGGTCCTGCCCTCAGATCATGGCCGTCTTGGGTGCCCTTTTCCTTTACGCCTTGGGCAAGTATTGCGTGTCGCCCCCGAGAGATATGGAAATAACCTATAGACTTCAAAAATATCCAGGGGATCAGGGGGTGGCCGTTAGCCTTCCTCCAGGCAACGATACGGCTAAGCGAGGGAGGTTTTGGCCAGCGACGTTTTCCTTGTTCCGGAAAAGTTGTGGTGTTATTTCCCTTTCCTCACACCTAACCCACCCCTGACATCCTCTCTTCCAGCCATAAACTCCGGGGTTAGCAGCTGGACCAGTAAAACCAGCTCGGCCCCTTGCACATGTTTCGGTGACTCGATCTTTCCTGTGGCTTGCTGGGGGAAATTCGGGACATTTCACCACCCGTTTGAACAAAAGCAATCTCATGGATCCTTTGCATTGACCCCTGCTTGGCTTTATATATAAAGCATATATTATATATATGCTTTATATATATTTTAAAAATGGAGAGGAAAGGGAAAGACACACCAGGACACCTTCGGTGAAAAGATGAAGGGATTGCTCGGCGCCATAAAGCAACGTCTCATCTATAACCTCTCTGGGTCGGTCATTCTCGGAAGGGAAGAGTCTTTATAATTGAGCAGACATTTAAAGAAAGAGGCCACAATGTATTTAGGGACGTGGGTGGCGCTGTGGGTTAAACCGCAGAAGCCTCTGGGCTGCAAGGACAGAAGACCAAGCAGTCGTAAGATCGAATCCACGCGACGGAGGGAGCTCCCGTCGCTTGTCCCAGCTCCCGCCAACCTAGCCATTTGAAAGCATGTAAAAAATGTGAGTCGATAAATAGGGACCACCTTGGTGGGAAGGTCACGGCGTTCCGTGTCTAGTCGCGCCGGCCACGTGACCACGGAAACTGTCTATGGACAAAACGATGGCTCTACGGCTTGGAAACGGGGATGAGCACCGTGCCCTAGAGTCGGACACGACTGGACTTCATGTCAAGGGGAACCTTTAACCTTTATGATGTATTTAAAATACAAGGTTATCTGCCTCAACAGTGTATGATTTGTCTTCTTGCAACCAGGGTGCTTCAGAGGTGGTTGGACGTACAACTCCGATCGGCCCTTGCCCGCCATGGCCAGTGGGTGACCGATCGTGGGAGCTGTAGTCCAGCCACCCTCGGAGGGTCCCGTTGCCAGATTTCAAATTTTCAATGGCAAAAACATGTCTCCTTGAGAAGACCAACGGGGAGTTTGACTGCCCTCTCCCCTTGCCTTCTTCCCACGGCAGGTCTCGTTCTCCCCTGGCGCTGGCTGGCCGTGGCCGGGCAGGCCCCTGTTCTCCTCATGGTCGCCTTGCTCTGCTTCATGCCAAACTCACCCCGTTTTCTGATCGCCAAGAAGAAAGAGGAGGAAGCCCTCGAAGCTCTGAGGTGGCTGAGAGGAGACGAGGTGGACTATTGGTGGGAGTTCGAGCAGATCCGGAGCAGCGTGATGGAACAGGTCTGGGAAATCCCCCGCCACGCACATCCGGGATCGATCCGAAGCTTCCTTAGATTGTCCAATAGATAAAAAAATGATCCTTCTCTGTATAGGGCAATTCACCTGGCGACTCTAAAGCATCGCCTCCCAATCATCTTCTCTTCCACCCTCTATAAATCAAAATTAAAGGGCACTGTGCTCTTTACATCCCATAAAATTGCCTTTATAGCATGAGCGGGCATGTATCCGTGACGACACAGGCATTTGCAAGAGATGCCGGGCCAACACACGTTCATGATCAATCCGAAGCTTCCTTTGATTGAGCTACAGATTAAAAAATTATCAGTCTCCCTATAGGGTAGTTCACTTGGCAAATCTAAAGCACTGCCTCCCAATTATCTTCTCTTCCACCCTCTCTATTAATCAAAATTAAAAGGCACCGCATTCTTTGCATCCCATAAAATTGCCTTTATAGCGTGAGCAGGCAAGTATCCGGGACGGCACAGGCGTTTGCAAGAGATGCTGGGCCAACACACTCGTCTGACTGGTTTTTGTCTCCCTGTTTTTGTTCAGAGCGAGCCCATCTCCTGGACCGAGATCAGAAAACCCTACATTGCCAAGCCACTGGCGATCACCCTCCTCATGAGGTTCCTGCAACAGCTCTCTGGGGTCACTCCCATCCTGGTCTATTTGCAGCTGATCTTCGACAGCACCGCCGTCATCTTGGTATGCCGGCCGGGCCTCTCTGCCCCCTTTTTTCCCCTCGTCCATTCGTAACCTTCCATTCTTTCTTTAAAAACCTCTTGGGACTTTCTGAAGCCCCCATCTCTTCCCCAGCATAACAGATTTTAGGAATAAACAATAGGATTGTCGTATCTGCAGGAGATCGGCTTCAAAGGCCCGCCCCCGCAGATGCTGAAAAATGTGGATGATAGTAACAGATTTTAGGAATAAACAATAGGATCCTTGTATCTGCAGGAGATCGGCTGAAAAACGCGGATGATAGCGAACACTGTTTTACTAGGAAATGCTGTACCTATCACAGTCTCTGGCTCGAACGCTGTTTTACTAGCAAATGCTGTACCTATCACAGTCTCTGGCTCTCTTTAGTGGCCAGTTCTGGGAACTTCGCTTTTAGAAACATATAGATTTATGGGATTTTTCTTTTAATATTTCCAATAGTTTCAGACCCTGCCCTGTTCCACGTTTCCTGTGGCCACTTTAGAAATCATCACCTACGAAAAATCCCACCTACGAAATCATCAGAAAGGCCGAACTTAAGAGCCATTAGCGATCAGCCTTTCTGGAACGCTTGTGAAACCTGGAAGGGTTCTTCGGAAAGATGTTCCCCCTTGCAGGAAGGACAGGATCCGATGCCCCCCTTCCAGCTGGCCTACGATTTTTATCTTTGCAGCCCTCCCAGTACGATGCCGTGATCGTTGGGGCCGTCCGGTTGGGATCAGTGCTGGTTTCTGCTTTCTCGGTGGATAAAGCTGGGAGGAAAATACTCCTGTATATCTCAGGTAGGGGTTTTCCTACGCTCCCTCCCGGCCCTTAGTTCATGGATCTGCCTTTCTCAAGATGGGAATCCAAGCCTGTTAAGTCAATAAAGGCTTCCCATCTTCCACTCGGTATCACTGGCCAGAATCCTGTTGGTATTCACACCGCTGTAACTCAGCGTCGAATTGCTGCAAGTTCAGTGGCCAGCGTTGGCATTTCCTGCTGTGAGTCGAGCCATACAATTCAGGGAACCTGCTTTGAATGATGACAGCAAGGCGCCCTTGAGATTTACGCCGGGTCAGTTACACCACTGGCCATTGCTAATAGGATTCTGGGAATGCAAACATCCTTCTGTTCGTCCCTGCGGTCAAATCCTCCGCATCCGACAGAAAGTGTGGGGCAGACGTGGGATGCGATGTTTGACAGCCGTACAGCTGTTCGCCATTCCCGGACAAAGAGTCGCCTCCATCCTTCATTCGGGGAGTGCGGGGCGGGGGAGAGGAACAGGAGAGATCCCGCTTGCCGTCCTGATGGATCTCCCTCCGGTAGGTCAACCTCCTAAGGCTGTTGTGTGAATAAATGCAGGGAGAGAACCCAACCTGTGATGTAGGGTTTTCCTAGGTGACTCACATTCCCTCTTTCACACTCCTGGCAGCTATCATCATGTTCGCCTCGAACCTGACCCTAGGTTTGTACATCCACTACGTGCCAGCCTCGCCCCATAACTCCTCCGTCACCGCTGCCCACGAGAACCCGGCCGGCCCCCCTTTGCATGGCCTCACCATCATCCCCCTGATCGCCACCATGTTCTACATCATAGGTAAGTAGCTGAGGAGTGCAGACCAGCAGGGTTGTCTCCTTGAATTTTTTTTTTAATAGGAAGGGTGAACCCGTAGTTCTGCCTTCGCTTTTCAAAGACCGGCCCTTCCTTTCTCCAGGTTATGCCATGGGCTGGGGTCCCATCACCTGGCTGCTGATGAGCGAGGTCCTCCCCCTGAAGGCCCGAGGGGCGGTCTCCGGGATGTGCGTCCTCGTGAGCTGGCTGACCGCCTTCGCCTTGACCAGAGTCTTCCTCTTGGTGAAGGTAAGCGGAGGCCCGTTCTCGGCCGAGTCGGCCAGGCTCGCTAGCCAGGTGTTCTCAGACAGCAGCTCCCGGAAATTCTGACAGCGAGGAGTGAAGGCTTCTGGGAGTTGTAGTCCCACGAACCACCAGGGACCCAAGGTGGGGAACCCCCCAGGCAGAGACCAACCCGCTCGCTACCTAGTCCTGAGTCCAATATTGTGGGAGCTGTCGTTCAAGACCTCTGAAGGGCCGGGCAGAGACCAACCCGCTCGCTAGGAGGGACATCAAGTCCCACCACCTACCTAGTCCTGAGTCCAATATTGCGGGAGCTGTCGTTCAAGACCTCTGAAGGGCAAAAGGATGTGTTAGTGACGCACATTTGTAGCCCTGCGGTTTGACCATCCGTGTGTCAGCACCCAGCCGAGTCAAGCGGGGCCTGGCAGCGCTAATCCTTGCTTTGTCTGGACCTATTTAAACGGTTCTGCCTCGTTTTGCTTTGACTTTTAAAATCACGTTCTCCTTTTTTCAGTATCCGTGGGGAGGGGGGCTTTGAACCAAAGCTTAAAGTATTCTCTGGGCAGTTTACAATTTAATTATACACATGGCCTCCCCATTCCCCCCCCCCCAGCGAGCTGGGTAAGCCTCCCCATTCCGCCCCCCAGCCAGCTGGGTAATCAATTTACCAACCTCGGAAGAATGGAAGTTGAGTCAACTTCAAATCTGTCGGGATCAAACTCGGATTCCGAGCGGAGTCTTGACTGCAGCGCTGCAGTTGAGCCGCTGCACGGCCAGGCTCCTACCTGTCTGTTTTACAGATCACCTGTTTTATTTATCAGGACAACTACGGCCTGGAGGTGCCCTTCTTTTTCTTCTCGGTCATCTGCGTGGCGAACCTCGTCTTTGCGTGTCTCCTCCCCGAAACGAGAGGGAGGTCTTTGGAGCGGATAGAGTCGTATTTCCGCACCGGACGAAAATCGTTTCTAGAATCCTTCCGAGGCAGTCGGAGAAGTTATAGTTAACTCAGGTTTGGCGTTTCTGAGACCGACGCAGGTCGATGGCTGTGGGAAATGGTCTTCGTAGTGCACGGACCTAACCTCACACTTTTTACTGTATGTACATCATCTGGAAGGGAGAGATAATGAACTATGCACTAGTAGAATGTTAAAATTTGCTTAAAACAGGGAATTTAGCAGCCGAGAGATTGCAATATAAATGGCCAAGTTCTCGGTTCAAAACTCAACACTGCTTCTTAGATGTCCTTGCAATTAAGCCGCTCGCTTGCTTCTCTCTTGGAAAAATGCAAAGTAACACAACTGACTCCAGCAATGTCACGTACAAGGTTGTTGCAAGGGTTCTTAATCTAATGTAGCACTTTGAACACTATAAAGCACCTATTTATAAAGCAATGCTTATTGCACAATCCATAAAAACGGACCTGGAAGAAGACTGAGAGCATTTAATGACTTTTTTTTCCAACTTGAATAGGACCTTCCTGACGAAACAGGTAATGTGAAACATACCTGCGCTCACGGTGCAAGCTTCTACGTACCAGGGAAGTTGGCGAGTCTTTAGGTCCGAGTTCGAATCTAAGTCTTTGGTACCAAGTCCCGAGTTCCCATTAAAAACAAGCTTTTTCCCCTTGGGAAAAAAAGAGGATGGGGTGGGCAGGTTCTGAGCTGAGTCTGAGTAATTGGGGGGGGGGACCCAAGTTGAGTTTGAGTCTTAAGTACCACTTAAGTCTGTCTCGACAACGAATCCTGCACCTCAAGCGCCCCTCCCTGCTATGTTACCTTGTTGGGTGATGAGAAAGTAAAAACTGGATGGGTTTTTTTTGGGGGGGGGTTGGGGGTAGAGGGGAACATTTGGTAGACTTAAACGTCTGGCACGGAAGGGAAACAGCCAGTTCGGGAAGGGATCCGAGTGAGAAAATAGGATTTGGAGGCAAATCGGTCGGACAGACTTGTTCGGGATTAAACCTACGGGGGGATCTATTGCAAAGAAATTAGAAAGCGCCTTCTTTTGGTTCAGCATGGAGCAATTCCCAGCCAGCTTCTGCTCTGTACTTAGATCAACTGTCTAATGAGAGAAAATGGCTCCGTCTGGCTTTGAAAGACAGGTACGAGTCCGGAAATAACACAGAACTTAGCTTCACACACACACACGGAGTTTGGTGAAGACACAAGGGCCGTGTAGACTCGGGGAGAAACAGCAGGTTCAATAAAAATGCATCCTCCATCGCTGTAGGGAAATTACACTCCTTGGGAATCAAAAGCGTCAATGTGGAAACAAGACAACCCCCATTTCAATCAAGAGCCTTTGAAACCAGAGATGGATTTCCAGAGGTAGAACGGTCTTTTTATTCACGGCATACACACAAAAAAAGAAGCACAGTTTAGGCAGTGGTAAGAAAGGGCAGGTGGCAGAAGACCGTCCCTTCGTGTCCTGTCACCACCCTTGTCCACGCAGAACGGTGTAGATGTAACACAAGGACAGTATTGACAACGTTAGCCGTTCAAGGCTGCTTATGTGGTAACACGCAAGAGGTAGGACTTCCATGTCTTTCAGAGGGGATTAGCTCCCGATTTTGATTTTGGGCTAAGCTCGGTTGCCCCAGCCCTCCCAAAAGGTACGAAAAAGCTTAAATCTATGGCTTCGGCATGGCTGCTTTGTTCTCCCCTCGCCTCCCTGGCGGTCCGAGCACGGAGCGGGTCCCAACAGAAGGATCCAGCCGGCCCTCCGAGGGCACTTGGCTTCGCGATCGCCTTCCCTCCATGCAAAGGTGAGAGGAGAGCAAAACCAGGTCTTCTACCAAAGCGGAACTACGCGGACACAAAGCGTATGGCAGTCATCGTCCAGTTGCTCTGGAAGGCACCGGCGTGGGAAAAGATAACGAATCCAGCACAGAAGTCACGACTCCCCCAAGAAAAATTCAGATATTTCACAGTGATCAAAACGGGGCTTTCTCGAAGAGGCATCCGTTCTGATCTTGATCAATTTGGACGGCTGCGTACCACCGGATGCCCCATAGGAGGGCAGTCCTTGTTTCCCGTCAAAGTCCCGACGGGAATCCTCCCAGGAGACGCAAACGGTCACGAAGAGCAGGCTCTCCTTCATCACCTCCAAAAATAAAGACAGTCAAAGCATGAAAGACCAAACTTACCGTCCCAACAAGGAAGCGAGAACGCTGTGCGTTACAAACTCTTAAGACCAGCCTTCTAAAAGAGTCTTGTGGCGCCCAGAGGCCACCGTCTCAAGATAGATACAGCCCTTACATGTCAAAAAGCACCAGAAAAGAAGGAGATGTTGATGAACACGTCAGCCAGGAGTGTGCAAAAGGCACCGGGAGACTCATAGGTCCTGGGGGGGGAAAAAGCAGAACAGGTTTGCTCTGGACTGGAGCAAAACTTAGGGCAAACGGTTGGGGTCACCCTTTATCACTACCCTTCCTTTCTGGGCTCCGTCACGACGAGGGCTCTAGAATTAGAAAACAAGAGGCAGAGCAGCTCGGGCATCTTTTCACACCCGCCTTGGCCTATACGTTCCAAGAGAGCAAAAAACAAATAGGCAGAAAGCGCCAGGAGGAACGACCCGGCCGATAAAGATTCTGGGGGAATCCGTACGTGGATCTCGGCAGGCACCCTACCGTGAGACCAGTCCTGAGTAAGTCCAGAAGCCGTTTTCCAGCACAGGTTTGAAAAAAGAGAGAGGTATCCTGCAGACTTCAGAACATCTGCAAAAAAAACTTCTTTTGTTTCCTCTTTGAAACTTAATCCGAGACGTTTTCAGACAAAACCATCCATTCCTTGGAAAAATCGCCTTTCATATATGGAATGGGAAGCTCTACCCCCTGTATCATCCTTGTCAAGAAAGAGTAATTTCTTCGAAACAAAGAGGTATTGAACGTCGAACCGTTATAATAATTCCGGTGGGCAATACTGACCCCTCCTGGTGGAAGGTAGTCCTGCAGTTGAGAGGGTGAATTCGACTAAAACGACAGAATTCGACTAAAGACACTCAGCGACTAAAACGACAGACGACCAAGGCCGATACACATCTAATCAGAATGACTTACGGAGTCCAATGGGACGAACGCCCAAGAAAAATGAGTACAAGATAGCAGCCTGATTCCTCGGCTCTTGCGGTTCCCACATCTTTCCTTCCTAAAAAAAAGACAGAATTAGCTAACAGCAGAGTGGCCCTGGCTGCCAGATGGGCAGTATATAAATCAAATAAATAATAATAATACCACCCAGAAAGAGAACGGATTCCCCCACCAACATGGCTTCAAACATGAAACCCAAGCCGAGCCTAATCAAAACTAGGTTTCCCCTAAAACAAAGCGAGGAAGCAGTAATACAGTTAACATACCTTATAAATAGAGAAGAAATTTGACCCCGTGAACAGAAGACCTGGGCCTTTGAAATATAAGAGTGTCACCCCACACACACTTATACAAAGAATGAACGAAAACGAGCCGGTTACCCGTTTAGGTTCTTCACGAAGGCAGGCGTGGGGCGATAATGAAACACCTCGGAGCCCAGGAATTTTTTTTTCAAGTACTAGGACAACACATGAATCTACTGTAAGAAGCCCTTAAGATGATCCTGGACATCCAACAGAGATGTGCCAGACACTCCAGATGAACCTGCCAACTCTTCAGTATGAAAGCGCTGCCGTTTTCTTCTTGATAGGTACGGAGGAAGACTAAAATTGCAGTACCGGGATTTGTGCACCTAAGCACAAAAGGATCGGGTTGTGCAAACGAAGACACCGATCCCTGACCTTCCTTGTACCCTTTGGCAGGCTTAGGGACATGTTAAATTTGATGGCCCTTTCTACCCCACGGAGCACATTGCAGGAACTGACATTTTTTTAAAGGATATATTTTTCTAGGTTTAGAACTCTTTTTGTGCTACACGACACCAGTGGCTAAAAAAATCTCCCAAGTTTTTCTTTTCTTTTCAGAAAGCCATAAATAAATCGAGGAGCATCACATTTTTCTCTCTCCCCTACGAAGAAAAAAACAGCTTACAAAAAACCAGCACACACAGAATTAAAAGTTTGCTACATCCTAGAATCCCTCAAGAACGGATCCCGCACGGCGCAGGAGGATGGGACTCTGAAACCTTCTAGAGGAAGGAGAGAAAGATTATCAAAATTCACAGCACGAAGAGAAAGGTCAGTCGCTAGAAGCTACAATTTTTTTGGTGCTGACTTTTCTCAGTTTCCAAAACAGTTTCCTCCCCAGCTCTCGAGATAAAAGCCAAGGCCCAGGGAAAGCGTCATCTGATGGCCGTTGCCAGGATCAGATGTCTTTGCCAAGGGACACTTTAGGGGTTAACGGAGAGCAGATCACAGTGATCCAAAAAGTGGGTCTTGAAGCCCTATGTGGTTCTAGTCCAACCTGAAAACAGAGCAGGGGAGGATTTTTAAAAGTCCTGTTTTAAACCCTGCCCTTTTAGAGCTGCAGAGGGTGAAGATTCACAGCGTTAGAGCGATCCTGGGTTTTGGAGGTGTTTTTTTTTTTCTGTTTTAAAGATGCTCCGGGCGAGAGGGAGTCTTTCCCCATCGGCACTCCCCCTCGCTTGGCATTGGTCCCGAGGCCCGATTTCCCGCTCTCTCTCTTTTTTCCATGTCCAAGACGGGAGCAGCGGTTTGGGGCGGCGAGGTCACACGGCCTGGGGTCCGGGGGCGCCCGGCGTGCCGTCTTCGCCACCCGGCTTCTGCTGCAGCTGCTGCATCCTGGCATACGTGATGCCGTCTCCCCTGTAAAAAGCAAACGACAGCACTACGGGGGGACCGCTGGGCGCAGCCCCTGGCGCAATGCAAGCCTCCTGTGGGGAAGACGGTCCGCGGATTGGGGGACCTTTCCTGATTCCATTCAGGAGGACCATTTAAAGCAACCCCCCCAAAAGGAGGAGCAGCTACCAGCGCCATCTTGGCCAGCTCTACCCTTTGGCGAGAACAGGGCGACCAATTCATGCCGCTGATTTTAGCTGCTCTGGAATGGGTAGCAAATGGGTAGTTATTTAATTTGCTGTTATTCTTGGGTTGTTGTTTTTTTAAACTGGTCAGGAAGGAAAGAGAATGCTATGGCATGCTATGATAAGACTTGAGAAGACTGTGTGCTTAACGGAGCAGAGGCTTTTATGGGAAGGAGCCCTTATTCTGGCTTAAAAATGATGAACAGAGAGGAGGGAAGGACTCCGTAGTTGCCCCGCTGTAATTAGGCACTATGTGATGCCCCCTGAAAAAAGCAACCGACAGCACTACCGGGGGGGGGCCGCTGGGCGCAGCCCCTGGCGCAGTGCAAGCCTCCTGTGGGGAAGACGGTCCGCGGATTGGGGGACCTTTCCTGATTCCATTCAGGAGGACCATTTAAAGCAACCCCCCCAAAAGGAGGAGCAGCTACCAGCGCCATCTTGGCCAGCTCTACCCTTTGGCGAGAACAGGGCGACCAATTCATGCCGCTGATTTTAGCTGCTCTGGAATGGGTAGCAAATGGGTAGTTATTTAATTTGCTGTTATTCTTGGGTTGTTGTTTTTTTAAACTGGTCAGGAAGGAAAGAGAATGCTATGGCATGCTATGATAAGACTTGAGAAGACTGTGTGCTTAACGGAGCAGAGGCTTTTATGGGAAGGAGCCCTTATTCTGGCTTAAAAATGATGAACAGAGAGGAGGGAAGGACTCCGTAGTTGCCCCGCTGTAATTAGGCACTTAACAGACTAATCAACAGATACACAACTGACTTGAGTACCATCTTTTCCACTCCGATGAGATGTGCGCTATTCTTTACGTTAGAGCAACTGTTTTAGAGGGTGGACGTAAATTAGCATCCACAAATATGATTCCCCTTTTTTTGGGTGGGGAGGGTCACACGACCTTCTGTGGCTTGGAATGCCGGCCCCACTAAAACATCACGGGTCTGAAACAATGACTTGACTCCGTCAGACCAGGAGGACCATTTAAAGCAAACCCCCCCCTCAAAAAAGGAGGAGCAGCTACCAGCGCCATCACAGGTCTGAAACAATGACTTGACTCCGTCAGACGTTGGCTCAGATAGGTTATGCCTCAAATTGTCAAGGAGTCTGATGTACACCTAACTCTTAACGTCAGACATTTACAATCCAAATAAAACAGAGCTTTCCCTCCGTTTTGATCCGTTTGTGGTCAAAACGGAATTTGCAGTCAGTTCGAAATGGGCCATCTCTGTAAACACGGGATCTTGCAAACGGAATTTTGCACACGTGAGCACACGGAGGCCTGCACGTGCACGCCCCGTGCACCCAGGCGCACACCCCCCCCAAGTTGCTCCCCACCGTGAAATAAAAGGGGGAGAAGAGTTCTTACTTCTTGCCCAGGGCCGAAAGTCCGTAGAGCACTCCTGTGGCAAAGGCAATGGCGTTGCCGATCACGGTTGTCAAAGTCAGGCTGAGGATGATGGGGAATATCGCCATCCTGTTCAAAAGGACATTAAGGAGAGAGAGGTGAAGCTCAAGTCTTATAGCATGCCTAGCCAGAGAGAGACTCAAAAAAAAATATACAAGACCCACAGCTTGAGAAACTGGTGCCAAATTTTATAGCCTAGGGCGTTTTGGCTGCCCGTTTTTAAATCATTCTGTTTTGAAATGAGCATAAGCCACAAAAACAGAGAGGGAGGGAGAGCAAGGAAAGGCGATCCATGGCCAGGTCCAAAAATTACTCCAGTTAGAAAAGGCGGTATTTGTACCACCGGTTAGTTTGCATTGCCCTCAAGCTGGTATTTACGGCTCTCATCCTAAAATAGGTACAAGCGGAGGGAGACAGGAGAAGAGTCTGGTTAACAGAGCTGCATCAAAACATGTCTGGCTTGGTTGCCTTTTAAAAAAACAAAAACAAAGGTGCCTTCCTCTTTTAAAGATGCTCCCACTAAGGAGTGGATCCTGAACTTTCCTCCTCCCTCCTCTTCCATCAGGCCTTGCGTGCTGTGCCTTGAGACGGTAAGCTTAAGAGCAGAAGCTGTCCCGGTTTCCAGTCTTTTTGGCCAAAAGGGCCAAAAGGGGATCCAGGCTTTGATTTGAGCTAACCAGCGTACGTAACTTGTTAAAAAAAAAAGTTGGCCTCTCCCGTCTCCCGCCCGCACACACCCGCCGTGGGCTGCAACGGTCAGTGAGGGGCTGCTTACCCGCAGTAGAAGGCTGCTTTCTGCCAGGGCCGAAGCTTGTCCGCCCGGGCCGACACGGCGTTCGCGAATTCGACAAACTGGCAGCAGAACGGAGCCTCGCACAAGATGAGGACGAAGGCGTTCAACCTTTGGGAAGAGAATCCCACACGTGTGTCCCTCTCACTTTACGGCCTCGGCTCCGAGGCTCGTCTGCGGCAGACTCTAGATGGTCTGCGGACGGAGGCGAAGCGAAGGGGCGGCATTTCAGCCCCCAGTCCGTACCAGGGATCTTACTTCAACACCCGCCACTGGGAAGTGGGAAATTCGGAACCAGTGGGATTCCCCACCAGGCTCATCAGGAAGAGTCCAGAAGTGCCGGCCAACGGAGAGTGCCCATCAACCAGTGAAGAGCAGGGGTTTTGTAAGGTTCGTTGCTCCTAACTGCTCCTTAAGCACGTTTAAAGACTTTGCATTGCAACAGAGATCGCCTGCAATGATACACTTGCTTCTGGGGAAATCTGTTCCTGCAGCTCAGCTCAAAGGGAACAGGGAATCCTGAAGGGGGGGGTGGAGGATGATGTCGCACTCCCGGGGCCAGCGGTGATGATAGGAGTGTCGTCCAGACAAACCGTGGGGCAGAACCCGCTCTCAGGAAACTGACAGCTTGTCTGCTTGTATTCCCCATCTCTTATCAGAGGAAGGACCCACTGACTAGCCACAATCACCATAAAGCCTATTTATTCTGAATTTAACCGGAGAGGGAAGCGAGAGATGCTGTCGTGGAGGAGGAAATCTGGGAGTTGAGGAAGGAGAGTGCCCCACCTCGGATCATTGTGTGTCTCTATGTATGTGTGTGTCAAGGGCAGGGGGTTTACTTACATCATCCAAACTCCAGCTGCTATGTTGAGAGGGTGGATGGTGATACACATCCAGAGACCAGAAAAGGCACAGGCTGAAAGAGAGAAGGAAAATCAAAATCAAATGGTAGCTGTAGCCACCAACCAAGGAACTTATCCAAAATACTGGATACCGTACGACACCCCCCCCCCCTTCACCCCCTTTCAATGCTCACAAAAAAGCAGTGCCCTCCAGGTTGGGGGTGCGGCTGTCCCAAGATGTTTTTTCCCCTGTGACAAAGGACAAGATAGTGATTGTTGTGGGTTTTTCGGGCTGTCTGGCTGTGTTCTGGAGGTTTTTCTTCCTAATGTTTCACCAGCCTCTGTGGCCAGCACCTTCAGAGGACCGGAATCAGAACAACAGAGCACAGACAGAGTTCTGACGCCGGTCCTCTGGAGATGCCGGCCACAGAGGCTGGAGAAACGTGTATTGCTCTTTTCTTCATGGTGTACCTATCAAATCAGCGGCCGGTTTAGTGTATCTTGTGTGCCAAGCTCTGTGCCATCTCTGTAATACTGGGATTAAGTTACCTGTCGATGAGGGCAAAAGGAATTGGATGTTGCGTATCCAATGCAGAAGACCTTCTTGCAAGTTTAATGAGTTAGACAGCTTTTTGCCCAGGACACGGCCGAAAAGTCTCGGTCCAAGGTTCCAGAGAAGCAGCTTTGCCCGTCGGAACAGAACTTGCTCTGCTTGTATTTTAATTGCCATATTTACAGGTTTTCTCTCTTACAAACTGGACTCGGAGACAGACGAAGGCCAGGTTGACTAGATCTGCTCCCTCAAAAAAGTCTGGTTCTCCTTCCCAAAGCCGGACTCTACCCCGAGCTACTTTGGATGTGACAACGTCGCTCTGATCAATGCAGATGTCTCGCGTCCAAACCAAGCCCCCGTTCATTTCTCCGTTAATTAATTTTTTAAAAAATGGGCTTCCCCCACTAATTTTACCTTAAACAAACCGCTGTGCCTTGCTCACGCTTTTCGGGTCCCGCGTTCGTTGGCACGAACACCAAGATTGACCCAAAAGCGTGTTGCTCATCTATCGCCTCCTAGCGCTTTAAAAAAAGCGCTCTCTGGGCGGTTTGCAACTTAATTACGCATGACGGGTTGCTCCGTTCACCAACCTCGGAAGGATGGAAGGCGAAGTGAACCTCAGAGCAGAGTCTTGACCGCAGAACTGCAGTTTAACCACTGCCCGATAAGGCTTCTCAGCCATCAAGGTCTACCAAAAAGACATATCCTTCAAATTATAAAAACAAGTTACTTCTGAGCCCATCCTAAGTCCAGTAATTTATGCTCGGCGGTAAAACCAAACTCAGTTTTTGCACACTTAACCCATTTCCAGCCTCTCTCCATCTCGGAGAGATCTCGGAATCGGTCATTTCACCATCCCTAAACGACGGGAATCGAGGTCCTCTGTCGACAAACGGCAGATCCCACGGGGTCCTCGCCTTTAGCACATCAAAAGGGTCGACTTTACAAGAATTAGGACCCGAGAGGAATCATCCAATGGAGAAGAAATCTCATCAGTAGAGTCTCACAAAGCGAGGAGGGATCAAGCCGCCCAGGAAGTGAAAAATCATTTTTTAAAGGATCGGTGTCATGTTTTAGCAGCAAAGTGAGTAGCCTCGAGAACTTCACGACCTCCCTTCCTTATAGTCCTTCATCTCCAAAACGGGCACAATCAAGACCTGCTTTAAAGAATGCCATCAAAAATCTGTATATACCAAAATTAAGGTAACTCACACAATATCTTTTACATAAGGTAAGACTTTTATCGTCATGGTCAAGTCAATTCTAACTTTGCTCCCATTGTTATCTAGGTAAAGAAGACCCAGAAGCGAATGGCCGTTCCCTTCCTCTAGGGGGCGCCCTTTGGACGGTGCCGCTGGCCCAAGGCCACCCAGGCGGGCCAGCGCTGCGGGAATTCGAACTCACAACCTCTGTCACCAAAGACCTAATGCGCGGAGTTAATCCGGCGCAAGGTAAGATTTTTGCGTAATATTTTACTGCCCTTTCCGGGGGGGCCCGAGAGGGCATTTCTCACACACGATCCCCCTGCGGATGTTTGGGGCATGGGGGTGTTAAGTCTTCAAATCTCCAGGCATCGTGAGGATTTTCCTATCTGGAGATTCTCAGTGCTATAAAGTCTATAAAAGGAACATTTTTTCATATTTTGGAGCTGAAGCCGGGGGGGGGGGGGCGGCACGCCCGGTGAAACATCTCCGGGGGAGTTTACACAAGGGGAAAAAAAAAGGTTGAAACGCCCCAAGGCAAAGTCCAGCGGCTCAGCTTGGAAACACGAGGAAGAAATCACATTTGCACGCTCCGGGCTAAAGAAGCAAACAGTGCTAAGCAAATAATTCGGGGTGTGTTGGGAGGAAAGATTGCATCGGAGTTTATTGCGACTCGTGTGCAGGTTTCTCCACCTCCCCAGCGTAAACCTAACCATTCTTTGCAAAAAAACATTGCTTAAATGTGAACCTAACGAGAATATTTAAATATTTAAAATGTTAAAAGAAAAACCCTTGAAACATGTATTTCTAAAGAGTGAAGCGGCCAGAAAGGGCCACTAGAGAGATCCAAAGGCCGCGCTAGGCGTGGTGTTCGCTATTAAAACTGTGTTTGCTGTTACCCACGATTTTCAGCATCCACGGCAGGCGCTTGGAAGGAATCCCCCTCGGAGAGAGAGGGTCCCACTGTAGCTAAATGAAATGTGGATACTGAGGTGAGAGGCAGTGTGGTGTAGTGGTTAGCATGTCATACTAGGACGCAGGGGACCCGGGTTCGAATCACCCACGTGGCCCGGCCACTCACTGGGTGACCTTCAGCTAATTAGATCCAGGCTGACCCACCTCCTGTGGCTGTAGAGGCAAGAGGAAGGGAGGAGAGGGCATCTGCACCGCCTCGGGTTCATCAAAGGCAGGATTTAAATGAAATTAATCAGCTGTTGTCCACTAAGTAGTTAGTTACCCCCACCTTTGCTGTCTTTTTTGCACCCATGCAAAAATACATAAGGCAAAAAAAAGAAAGGAAAAAGATTCAAAGCAAATACACACACACTCTACAGGCGTCTTGGGAACTCTCCTCCACTTGGTGGTGGAGAAAGCAATTCAGAAAGTAATTAAGCAATAATAATAATAAAAAAGCCCATACTCACAGATGCCGCCGACGATGCCGGCCAGCCTGCAGAGCCACCGGTACCACCAGGTCATGCCATCATCATCCGTGGCAGCTTGTGCCGTGGGGGAGCCCTCGCCTGCGGGCTGCTCTTCCTGGGACATCATCCTCCAACTTTCCTTCCTTCCTTCCTTCCACCCCTCCCTGCTCAGCCCCCGCCAATCCCACCCTGCCCGTAGCCCCTGGGCAGGTTTCTAGTCCTCAACGCTCCTGACAATAGAGAAAGCCCCGCCCCCCTTGGGAGCAGCTGTTTCCTCCCTCCCACCAGCCTCTCCGTTCGCGGTGCATTTCGGGTCCCCTCCCTTAGGCAGGAGCGAAGGGGGGCGGAGCCCTAGACTCAGCCCGGCAAGAAGAAATACAGAGTGACTCTTCCCTCTTCCCAGGATGCGACTTCCGGGTTAGGCAGGAGCGAAGGGGGGGCGGAGCCCTAGACTCAGCCGGCCAAGTAGAACGATAGAGTGGCCCTTCCCTCTTCCCAGGATGCGACTTCCGGGACCAGTTTAGAGTCCTTCCCTTGGGGGGGGGATTGGGGGGCAACAGTCCCTCCCCAAAGCCTATGGAAACCTCCTTTCCTGGGGGGCGATCTGTGCTTCCCGAGAGGGATCAAGAGACCTATGAAGTTTATAGTTTCTGCTTGCAAAACCATCAGTGCAAAGCAGAATGGGGTTGCAATAAAGGGGGTGTCATCCAGGGTCCCCCCCCAAAAAAAGCAGTCCTAGGGAGGGGGAGACCCACCCACACACCCCTGGCCCACCACCCTTTACCCATCACCCTTCACCTCCAGGGATGAAGCTCTCCTTTATTGAAGCACGCCAGCACCCTTTCCCCCCCCCAGCAAAAACCAATTCTCTGCCCAGTTTCAAACTGGTCCCTGTGGTCCAAAGTTGGGGGCCGGAAGGGAGAAATGCTCCCTCGTGGCTCCAGGACAAGGCATGACGGCAAACATGTTCGACACATAGCTGGTTTGGGTCAATAAACATTTACTTCCAAAGGAGAGGCACCTGAAATAATTAAGTTTTTGCAGTTAAGAGGCAAAAAAGCGGCTGACTCCGGGCCAGTGAATCCAGAATGGAAAACACTTTAATTTCTGGCTAATCCGTTAAGTTCATATCCATATGACAATTTTACTATATGTCAGCTTAGCAGCCGAGAGAAGCAGGAAGATCCGTTTAATTTTTAAAAGGGGGGTAATTAAAGGTGATGAAGTTTCGTCCAGAGGGGTCACGTGGAACTGTATTTATCCCTCTTGTCTTATTCTGAAAATTCATAGGATTTACTGACGGTTTATCAAGACTGAAGTTCTGATAGTGAGTGGTTTAGCGCTGAGCTGCTTCACCCCTTCATTACTCTCCGAGGGGTTGCTATATAGATTCTCTGACACGTTATCCGTCTGCTCTTCCTCACTTTACATTATTTTCTTTCTACTTGCTGGCTCTTGGCACAACTCTAAAAAAGTAGACACACACAAAAAACACCTGGAACGTCCAGATGTTGCGACAAAATGCTGGGAAGATTAGGGTTTGATGAGGAAATGAAAGGCATGCAAGCACCTTGTCGGAAAGAGCATCCAGATTTTGGGAGTGGGTCCCCCTCTTAGCTATAGCAGAGGCGACCGTAAGGCCCTCTCCCTCCCCTTTCTCAGCAATCGGATCAAATGCGGGGCTTCAGCATCGGCCAGAGTTCTGGAAAGGGGAATTTTAACAGATGGAACTCCTTCCTCCTTTCTGCACGTAAACCTGTACCTGCCAGTTTCCCCTCTTCTACATAACATACAAGGGTGTTCAGAGTCCTTGGGTCACCCAGAGAGAAATCGTGGAATGTCTGCAGGGCGGTGTTTATTTGGGCTTGGTCACCCAGTACTCCGCTCGGAAAGGGACGTGGGCCAATTCTGCACTGAATTCGATTTCAGCCCGGCTCCCCGTGGATTCCCAGTAGAACAGCTGATTTCCGCGGAAGACGGTGGTTTTCATGGTGCTGACATCTCGAATCTAAGGAGAAAGGACGGCCCATCGTCACATTTTCTATCAGGATCTGGGTTTTGCCTCATTCAACAGCACATAACAACAACAGAATACTATTTCCATATCTGTCTTGCCTCATTCATGGGGTCCCCATATATCAGAACTGACTCGACAGCACATAACAACAACAGAATACTATTTTTTAAAAACCCAGTGATTTAAAACTGTGTGCATAAGGAGGCCCTGTTTCTCTCCCTGCTTGGGCCCCTGATCTCCTACATTCGTGCTCATGACTACAATGATAGCAGACCTGGAACTGTCTTACAGGGGGTGCTGGAAATTTTACAGCATTCCTGCAGGACAGGCTCACAGATGATGATTAAGGAGGAAAACGCATGGGGAAGGGTTCGGAGTCTCCCAAAAACACCAGATCTGTGTTTGGGGGCATTCCAAGAACATCACAAGGCGCACGGCGATCTTACCAAGATATAACCAGAAGGTCTTTGGCCGGCGTCGGTTCCCAGGTCCACGTTCACAGCACGAATGGCGATACGAAGCCGTGGAGCCACATCGATAAAGGTCCTGCAAGACGCTGGCGATTCGCCGTCTGCGGGCGGCCCGGGGTTTACTATTTCTCCACGAGGGCCAAACAATTGCACATCGCAGTCTGGATCAGCAGGGAGGAAAAAAGAATCAGAAGAAAATGACAGGCTGAAGTCACTGGGTAAGCACCAGGGGCAGATCCAGAATGTGAAATGACACAGGCATTGCTTTCCATGGGGGTTAATAGCAAATTGGCCAGATCTGGATCAAGAAAGCAGCTCGCAGGGCGCAAGAAAGACACAAATTCCTGGATATTTGTAAGTTTTGAAAGAGACGTCGGGGGACTCTCTTGGTTAGCCTTCTAGGGAGTTCGAATTGCTTATCCTTCAAACGTGACTTCTACTTCAAAGGCGCCCGAGCCCGTTTTCGCAGCAACGCACCTTGGTGGTATCTCTTTGGGGCAGCCTGGCTGCTGTACTGGAGCACGACTCCGTTTCCCGGCACCAGGAGCCGCTGTCGCACCATCAGCGTGTTGGCCTTGGTGTTGTTGATCACCAAGAGCCCCAGTTTCTTACATCCTGTCCGCCACATCGTCCGTGTAGAAAACAGCAGCATCTCGCCTGGAATGAAGGGCATGGGGGTGAGGGAGAGGAACAGAACGTGGTTCTTGTTATGTTTTTAAAATTGTTGGACTCCGTATTTTAGAAATTTCACTGTTTACTACATTCGTTTGTTCGTTCGTTGGATGGATGGATGGATGGATGTATGGATGGATGGATGGATGGATGGATGGATGGATGGATGGATGGATGGATGGATGGATGGATGGATGGATGGATGGATATAATGATGAATGGATGGAGGTAATGATGGTCCCCTGCACCCCTTTGTCTTTTCATCAGTTTTCAGTGCCTCCCCTGCACCCCTTTATTTGTCTTTTCATCAGTTTTCAGTGCCCCAGGGCAGAAATCCGTCCTGCAACCCCTCCAGGGCATACTGCATGTTGCAGAGTGGGCATGGAGGAGGTAAGATTTGAACTAAGGGCTTCTCAAGCTCACCGGTGTGTCAAGCAACCCACCTGCAGTACAGTTCAGGGTACTCTCAAGCACCCGGAGGGTGATGATCTCTTGCAGGGGGCGGCCGATGGCCACGGCGCAGTCCCTCACTCGTAGCCCGGTCATATTGATCAGCCCCGTGGCACCAAGGAAGAGTCTCCCACACACACCTGCCGGAGGGAGGGAGAGGCGGCGGGTCGGAGGGGGCGAAGCAGTGGAAAAAGGAGGCGAACGCCCCCATCTGCACCCCAGGGCCACGACGGGTCTCAAACGCAAACTGAGCCAGACGTGGGGGAAGCTTGCAACCGATCCCCTGCAGATACGGGGTGGTGGTGGTCCTACTGTATTTAACTTCGGCTGGACAGTGCCCTGGCTTTAAACAAAGCTAAAATTCAAACCACCCAATCCTGCACCCACGCGTTCTCTCTCTTGTATTTCATGACAATCCTGTCGCGAAATTCGCCACTCACCGTGCTCCTCCGAAGGATCTTCCCAGTCTGTCTCTTTCAAGTGCTTGGGAGACACAGCAAGTTGTGGAAAACCTAAAGCCCTGGATCGTGATCTGGCGGGGCTGGTGGTCGTGGAAGGTGTCGTGCGCCAACCCGGAGCGGTCGGCTGCCTTTGGAGACCCGCAAGAGTCGTGTCTGCTGAGGCCGGTGCGAAGCACGGGGCAACGGAGCATGTCCTCACCCTCAAGGGCTTGGGGGTGCGCATGCACCAGGCGGGGTTCACCCGTGCCCTGGTCTGGGAATTAAGGCAGAAATCCTTCCGCGTCTGGACCCCGGTTCCACAGGAAACAGAACACTGGAGGGGGGAAAATCCACAGTTTGTCTTTAGAAAGCGACAAAAGCCAATGATTCGAAGCAGGAACCAAGGCCTCTTAACCTTTTGGTGTTGGGGGACGTGGCTTTTTACCGGTTCAAAGCTATACTCTTCTGACAGATGCGCTTTTACACTGCATTTTAAATTGTGCTTTTATATTATTTCGGTTTTAATTGTTAATCTGGTGTCGGGAGCCCAAAAAGTGGGGCAGGAGCCACAGAACCCCCTTGACCCCACTGCAAGGGTGGGATGTAAAGGCAAGCTCGATCAATCCAAAGGATGGTACCTCCGTCCACTGGGTGAATCCCCATTCGTAAGAGCACTCCCGGACGACGCAGGGCAGGCTAGCGAGAGGCTTCTCTGCTTCCGGGCACGAGTCGTCGGCCAGCTCTACCTCTTGGCTTCCAGAAGACTGCACGCAAGCGATGGTTTGGGTGGCCACCCCAAGCCCGCAGGAAGAGGAACACGGACCGGTCCTTGTGACTTTCCACCTTGTCGTGGAGAGAAGGGGATACTAAGCTGGCCACCTCTCCATTTTCCTTCCACCCACAGACAAAACCGATCATCCATCCATCCATCTATTGACTAACTCATCCAGCCATCCAGCCATCCAGCCATCTTATAAAACCAAAAACCAGAAGACGGGAGGGCCTGGCGTGCTCTGGATCCGTCTTACAAAACCAAAAACCAGAAAACAGGAGGGCCTGGCATGCTCTGGTCCATGGGGTCACGAAGAGTCGGACACGACTAAACAACGGCAACGATCACGCAGTTAATAACCTTGGAGGACAGGGTTCCGGATTGCACGCTTCCTGTTCTTCGGGATGAGGCAAATTCTCACAGTGGGCGTCTGGCAGAATCTCTTCCTCCTTCTACAAAACCAAAAACCAGAAAACAGGAGGGCCTGGCATGCTCTGGTCCATGGGGTCACGAAGAGTCGGACACGACTAAACAACGGCAACGATCACGCAGTTAATAACCTTGGAGGACAGGGTTCCGGATTGCACGCTTCCTGTTCTTCGGGATGAGGCAAATTCTCACAGTGGGCGTCTGGCAGAATCTCTTCCTCCTTCTTCTCTCCCGTCTCCCGCGCACAGTACCGCACCTTGTGCAAGACGCCCCCGCCACAGCTGGCGCTGCAGGCACCCTTCTTGGAGAACCACCTTGGAGGCAAAACAGAGTTCCGTTGTTGAAAGCAGCTGGGGGGGGCAGCGTGTGGCTTTCGCTTCCCACAGCTCGGAAGGGACGCCGTTTTTAAATGCCAACTCTCTGCGGGATGATGGAGATCGTTGTGCCAAAAAGTCCAATTTCCCCCCCCCCATGCTTTCCCGCCTCCCGTCATCTTCCTCTTCTAATCAACACGACAGGCGGGAGCTTCTCCCAACCCACTCCAAAGTAGGGTCCTATCAACCACCACCTTGACATCATCATCATTCCACAAGGCACAAGTTCCTCTTTATTCAGCACCGGTTAGGCTTCGTCTCGAGTCCTGTGTCCAGTTCTGGACACCGCACCTCAAGAAGGATGCTGACGAATTGGAACAAGTTCAGGGGAGGCCAAGAAGGAGGATCAGGGGGCTGGAGAGAGCTCCAATGCTGGAGGCCTTCAAGAGAAAAGTGGACCCCCATCTGTCTGATCTACTTTGATATGGATTCCTGCCTGGAGCGAATGCTGGAGGCCTTCAAGAGAAAAAATGGACCCCCATCTGTCTGGTCTACTTTGATATGGATTCCTGCCTGGAGCAGAGGGTTGGACTAGATGGCCTTCGAGGCCCCCTTTCCAACCTCATGATCCCCTGATTCTGTGATCACTGTCTGCAATTCTCAAAAAGACTGATACCGTATCTACCTCGCCGGGCAAGGTTCAGTAGCGCATTCCTTGCTGCTGGCCGGCCGGCGCGTCCTGCCACATTTCGAGTGCGGGAGCGTCTTGGTGGCGTTTCCATGCTGCCGGATGCACCGTACCAGGAGAGGGATCCTTCCTCCACCGCATGTGACGGGACACGGAGCAAGTTCCTTTACCTCCCAGCTGGAAAGAACACAGGGAGGTGGCAGAGAATCAACATTAAGGGGAAGCCTAAATCCAACTCATTTCTCAGCACAGATACTCATGGGTCACCTATGGTGAGTAAACACCACCTCCAAGGGACTAAGCAGGGAAACCCCGGCGAAGCCAGAGATAATTGGTGGACTGTACATGTTGCATTTACCTTGGGGGACATAGCATGGGGTTACACACTTCCAGCTGGCTTGACGGTTTCCGCGTCTGGTTACAACGCTCCGCCTTAGCTTCTTCTCGAGTGTCAAAAACCAGACAGACGTAACTCACCAGCATCAACCCTGGGAAGAGAAGCGATTGGAGCAGATTTTTTTAAAGTTATATATAATCTCTCATTTTTTGGAAATTCCCTCTCCAAAGACCTATATTTTTTCCTCTGAAAGTCCACGGTCAAGACAGATGGACCGTGATACATATTATGGTCTGTGCCAAGGAAAGCTGTGTGGGAAGCATTCCTCTAAAGCGATCAGTGTGCTACATTTGAGCTGGCAAAAAAAAAAATAGTTTTAGATGATGCTTATTGGCTAGTTCTCGTGACGCCACCAACACTCCTTTAAAGATTTCCGGAACTATTTTACAAAAAACATTTGATTATATTTGTGGCAGAAAGGTGACATGAAAAAGGGAGGTATAAAAGTGCATCGGTGATGCTGACTCTTTTCTAAAGTTATGAGCAAACGCTGGTGGTGAATCTTTGATTGATATTTCGAAGCCTCTCACCTCCTCCGCAAGTGACGGTGCAGTCTCCAGCCACTGGGCTCCAGATGTACACTGGCCGGTTTTCAATACGAGGAGGCCAAAACGGGTCAGAAGATGCTGAATCAGGCACCTCTTTCTGCTTCAGAAGACAGCGAGAGCGTAAGGGCTCAGCACAGAGCGCGGGTGGCGAAAACCGGGCCCTAGGGCAGAATCCCACCCACTGGAATTCTCCAGTACCCATTCTCTGTTAGATTATTATTTAACGGTTTCATCTCTCCACCCCTCCTGCCAATGTTCAGAAACCTTGAAATGCTTTTTCTAAGGCTTCGTTACTGGCTAATCGACCCAGCTGTTTTCTGAGCGCTTTGGGATTTCCTGCCGTTGGACTCGATGGCCTTTAGAGGCCCTTTCCGACTCCACCGTCCTCCGATTCTATGATACCTTGATTCAGGATTTGGGCACCAACGACACCCCCTCGCCCTTGCCGAGAGAGATCCTAGAGGCAACCCGTTTGCAAATATAAACAAGCCAGGAGGAGGACAGATGACACACCGTGTCCCACCCTAGTGGGCAAACGTTCACCACGCAAGGCGCCACGTCGAGGGGTTTCTCATCTGCCGAGCAGAAGCTTTCCTCCACGATGGTTTCCAAGCCGTCACGGACTTGAACGCAGGTCACGTTCAACGAGGCGACTCCCACCCCGCAAACGGCAGAGCATGGGCCCGGCTCCGATTCTTTCCACCTGGAAGGAGAGAGCCAGCTGTTACGGATCAGACTTCCAAAGTTCCCTGCCTCCACCAGCAATAGAGGATGTACTACGTGTGATAAACCAACAGAACAGACATGCAGACATGTTCACATTCACGTTCTCTGCATCAGAAAAATTCCATGAAATGCATGATGGATCATGCTCTGCCCCCCCCGGCCTTAACTGTGTGTTCTCTTGTCGGATCCCATCTGGTCTTCCTTCAAGATGATGTTCTGCCGCTTTCAAAGACTTCCCAGTAAATTGAACAATGGAATTGGGATCCAACTGGATTCTGAACCCATTACAGATATCTGGCTGTTTCTTGTCTTAGAAGGGGGTCCCAGAAGACCCATCCCACTGTGTAACTCCCAGACCCCGATGGCTTCTGCCAGGCCCTGCATTTACCTGGGAGGGCACAATTCGGAGCTGCAGGACTCAATGGAAGAAGGCCGAGCAGCCTCCGTGCATTCTGAATCTGGCAGAGTCAGGATCCGTCCTCCATCTTCCTTTGCGCAGTGAACCAGACGCTGCCTCGTGCCACCGCCACAGGTGGCACTACAGGGCCCAAAGTCGTCGGCCAACCAGCTTGGAGAGAACACAAGGGTCTCCTTACAATCCTCCTCCCGTTACGCAGGGAGTCAGGTCTATAAGGTTAGCGGTGTGGGTGTTGTGGCGAGGTGGGATTTTTTAAAAAGGAATATAGATAGCCCCAGCCCAGCTTTCTCCTCCAAGAGGACTAGCAGCCGAAGAAGGCTTCACTCACTGCGGTGGGCAGGGTGCCGTGAGACAGGACTCCCGCCTGGGGGCAGGTCTCGGAGTCTTTAGGCAGTGGGAGTC